GGATTTCACAATGGGGGTCGATAATAGCCATCTTTGTTTCCTGTAGGATCACCACACTAGGATTAATGCGGGAGATAGTTTGCTTGATGARGGCCCTCTTCTTCCATGAGCCCAGACCCCTCACATTCCAAGAGAKGATCTTCATATGGCACGGGATGGTCCCCCCTTTAGAAGCTTTCGTTTATCATAGTTGATGGAAGAGGTTAGGTTCTTTAGCTCTCGCATGCCTGTTTTGGGTTTTTGGGTTTTGGAAGGCTTTTTGGCCTTAGTTTCTACCTGTGGGATGGACATGATGCATAAACTTGACTCCTGTAGGTAGCTGGCCAAGTAACGTTGGAGATAGCTTGGAGAGAAGAGGTTTTTGGCCAGGTTTTTGTCAGTAAAGACAGGGCTGTCATAGGTGTCTGCCAGTGTGGGTAGTGCGGCAGTGTCAGTGGCCATGGGGGTGAAGATGGTTGTTTGGGTGGGTTGGCGATGGATAGGGTGTTGGATGGTGAGTKGGGTTGTGTAGGGGTAGAAATGTGAAGGGTGCTGTCTTGGTGATCGGTAAATCACCAAAAAGAATGGTGGGGATAATGGGTGTGGATGGGCTATTGCAGATAGCCAAAAGTGGCTATCATCGAGGCGCGGACTCGAAAAATAGTCAACCTCATCAAGGTCATCAATGAAAGGGCTGCTAGGTATGGGGCTAGGTTTCCTTCTTCGCAGGAGAGAGATGGGTTGGGTTTTATCCCTATTAGTCACGTGATTTCTTTTGACATGATTGGGGGATGGCTTCTACACCAATGCTTTGGGAAGCGGTTCATAGGGAGGGAGGGTAGCAGTGACTTTTTCCTTCCCTTTAATCGAGGTTGGGGATGCTTTTGATGGGTCAACATCCTCTGTCAGTGGTTTAGATGGGGCAGGTGTGACAGGCTTCTCGAGAGAGAACTCTCCGGCTGGTGTACTGGTGGTTCCGGTGAGTGGAAATTCCGACCAGTGCTGTGTGATTGTATCTCGAAAAATTTGTAGTTTTTCCCCGATTTCCGCGAGCTCTGATCAAGTTCCGGTCAGTAAAAAAGGGGTCAATGTGTACAGTGAGGGCATCCTCTTGAGTAAGGAGTGTTGGGAGTTCAAGGAGAAAACCCGCATCATTTTCTTTTACTTTTATCTTCAGCTCCATCAGGTTTCTAAGGCTAGAGGATTGCTTAGAAACTTCTATGAAGCCGCCACATTTGTCCCCAATGAATGGGATGACGGTTTCGTTCCAAAGGTGTAGAGGGAGGTCTCTAATGGTGATCCAACCGCCATAGGATGGAACTTGACGATTTGAGTTAATGTTGTGGGTACTCCATGTGATGAAACGGAGTTTGTATAGACCAACAGATTGCCAATCAGGGGAAGAAGTGAGGGATGTTGCTTGTTCTAAATCTTCACAACGGAGGAGGGCTTTGTCGGCATGAATGGGGYTGATGGAGCAATAGCCACTGATAGATGCTTGTAAAGCCCACAAGATGGAGTGCCAATCAGCATGGAAGGAGTGTCGCTGCACTATGATCCATCTACTCCAATCAAATATCTYAGGGAATAGAGTTGACCTTGTTGGTGAATCTGTGGTAAGAGGGTTGGTCTTGGGCAGTATGGGTGGTTTAGTTTTTTGTATGGGGGGATGTGGTTTTGGAGGTGCAGGGTCAGTGACGATACTAGGTGGCATTGGTATTCTTTCAACAGTTGGGTAATTGTTGATAAGGTTGTGGAAGGTCTTCCAACCACCTTTCTCCGCACCAGATGGTATCATAAGCTTGTTCGAACCTCCGTTGCAATCAAGCTTGTTTATCTCTAGCCATTACCCCTTTTTGTTGCTCAGCTTCTCTATCCACAACGTGTAGTCATTGCTGTGATGTTCCCTGAAGAATTTGAAGGTGAGTGGGGAGTCAATGAGGTGGTTTGTGGCGGTGTTGAGCCAATGGATGGAGTTCCAAGTAAGTGAAAGGGAGTAGGTGGTGTCTTTTCCAATCTCAGATAAACGAGCACGRCTGCCTCTGAAGTGCTCATCAACCTTGATAGAAAAGGATTTGTGTTCAATCTTGATTCTGCGGGGAGGATAGTTCCAAGGGATCATGATGATTGGTTGGTCGGGGGGAGAGGGTGTGGGGGTTAGGAGGTGAAAGAACCATCGGGAACGGCGGTGGGGCGGCGGTGGAGGGTGGGTGGGTAGCGGTGGGGTGGGAAGGGAGGAGAGAGCATTTTTTCCTGGGGCTTTTTTCAGGACTCTTGGCAATCTTATTCGGTGTCTTTGTAGTGACAGGCCAAAGCAATGGGATTTAGCTCTTGCACAAGCTGAATTTGCTTTTAACCACATGTAAAATAGAACAGGAAAGTCCCCCTTTGAAGTGGTTTACACTAATTTACCTCGATTAATCGTGGATCTAGCTAACATACCTCTTTCTATTGATGTTAGTGTTGAAGCAGAGCAGATGACCGAGAGGATCAGTCAGCTGCATAAAGAGGTTTGAGACCATATTGACACTGCCAATTCCAAATACAAAGAGCAAGCGGATACTAAAAACGAGTACAGGAGTTCAAAGAAGGAGATCTAGTCATGATACACGTAACGAAGGGACGACTACCAGCTGGGGCTGCTCACAAACTTCAAAAGAAGAAATTTGGTCCTTATGTAGCATTAAGGAAGTATGGACCGAATGCCTACAAAATACAACCACCTACCGATTTCAACATTATCCCTATCTTCAATGTATCGGACATCTATCCATATGAAGCACCAGATTCTTTTTCTTTAGCATCCTAACTCGTGGTCGAGTTTTTTTTAGGAGGAGGGCAGTTGATGTAGTTAACAAATAGTTAACTTTGTGTTAGTTAGTTGTTAGTTAGTTGTATTTGTAAGTTAGGTTGTTCCCCTTCCGTTGCGTGGCTTCCTCTATAAATAAGGAGCCATTTGTACCTTTTAGCATCATCTAATACAATTCAGTTTTCTCTCAAAATCGATTACACCACTATGCCAAAAAAAGAAAATTACAGTGAAGTGTTGGTCCCTGTGGCAGTTTTCTAATAATAAGGTCCTCAATTTTAGTAACAACATTCCTCGTACATTTCCCTTTTTTATATAGAAAGAGAATTTTTCATTGAAATAGTGAAAAGTTACAAAGGATTGTAACTGCTGCAGACCTTAGGAAAAGCGGTTGGTTAGCTTTTTGGGATAGGGTGAAGGACAGCTTATCAAGGGAGAACTCGAGAAGAAAGTTTCAAGGGAGAAGAATGCATCAAATTCTAATCTGGATTCTCTTGAACAGCCGCTTGAATACAGTGGATATCCTCCAACAGAAGCTTTCTCATTTTCAGCTTTTATCTTCAATTTGTTTCCTCTGTTTTGCAGATTCTTTTTTTCTTCTTTATTTTTGGATAAGAGACGATATATTCCAGTATAACAAAAAGGAAGGACAACTTAAGGGCGGAGGGTCGAAATCACCCTGCTCCGAAAACTAGACAATGGCAGCCTTACAATTTCTAACCATCAAGAGTAGGCTATAATTATAAAAGAATTTTTGTGGTTTATAGACCACTCTGAAGTAATATGCTATACATTGCTACAAAAATCATCCTTTAAGGACTTCTTATCTTCAAAAAGCCTATTATTCCTCTCTCCAAATAAGCCATAAAACCACCCTCAGCGCACAATACGAATACCAAAATCACATCTTTTTTGGTTGTTCCTTCTCCTTGAAGTGCTGGTTCCGTTTCTTTAAAAGATTTCGGATTCCTTGGGTCTTCTCGAACGACTACAAGAGTAATGTTATGAATCTCTTGGTTGGGCCGCCTCTACCTCCAAGAGCTCATTTATTATGGTCCAATGGAATTAAAGCTATTATTTCAGAATTATGGTTGGAATGTAATAGGTAACCATAGAATCTTTCAAAACAAGTTTTGCAGCTCTTCATTTGGTTTGACATGGCTTCTCAAAAGCTTTGCAATGGTGTTCTCTTTCTAATACCTTTTCGGACTATAATTCCCTTGATATCTGCTTAAACTGGGAAGCTTTCATTTTTTATGCTTAGACTCTTTAAGTGTTTCGGTTTGGCCTTTGTATTTGGGCRGTTTCGATTTTTTTTTTTCAAGTTTCTTCTTTGTATTTTCTTTATTTTTTCTCTTCCTTTTACTTGCATTGAAAATTCTCGTTTCTTGTCCAAAAAAAAAATAATAAATAATAAAAAGAATATTCTCCCTATTACAATTCTTGAAGATGATTTCAATTGTTGATGATCGGAAACTTTTTTTTTTTTTAACAAGAAACAAACTTTTCATTAAAAATATGAAAAGGAAGAGAAGTGTTCAAGGATACAAGCTTCCCAAAGGAAACGTAAAGAAAAGAAAAAAGTAACCACCAAGAGGCAGAGAATCAAAGACAGAGACCAGCAACTACAAGATATCGAAGAACACCAGATAAACTAAAGCCAAAGAAAGCACAAAAACTGAAGAACAAAGAGCCAGAGAATCGGAAACTAATATTGTATGATGCTAAATCACCACTAAACCCAAAAATTTAAACCGATGGGTTATGGTAAATTTAATATTTTGTATATACCTTAACACTCCACCTCAGCTTGAAAATTTACGCAAGACCCAACAATTTATAACCAATATTAAATGGGGAGAAAGTGACATTAGAGGGTTTCGAACATAGTCCTCCTCTTGCTTTGACACTATGTTAAATCACTACTGAAGTCAAAAGTTTAGATTGATGAGTTAAAGTGAATTTAGTCTTTTATAGATACCTTAAAATATAATTTATAGTTTTGTCTTCCTTTAGTAGGATCACTTTCCAACTTCTCCTTGCACAAATTATAAACGAAACTAATTTCTTATCCCAAAAAAAGTAATGCGTCCAAATAATATTGAGAATGTATAAGCTAAATACTAAATTCAATTGAAAAATGTTGTTATTTGTAGTAAGCAGCATATTAACTGAGAAATGAAATGGTACCAAGGGATCCACAGAATCATACTGTTAAAAATCCACTGAAGCTATACTGCATAGTTGGTATATTAGTTACACCCAGTTCCAAGTCATTGAGATAAGGACCATTTGTGTCCATGATGGATCTAACATCAGGAAATCCTGAGAAAGCCCAAGTATGGTTGAGACGAATGCTATAATCAAATAACTTGGGACCTTGCTCATGGAATACCACGGCTCCTTTAATTTTGGGATATGAACAGTTCAAGTTCCTGAATAAAGAATGAAATGGTTTGATTATATTTCACAGAGCATGTAACCCTTAAAGGCAATCATAAACAGAAATCAAAGAAACCTTCATATCAATCATCATTTTCTATATGAACTGCCTATGAGAAGTGCTTATTATATAAGTATGTTTCTTGTTCAAAAAAAAAAATTATTATAGAAGTATGCATGGAAGTATCTCCTACAAAGGGAACACATTTCAACGAGTTCAAACTATCTTACTACTTAAATCAAAATCAAGTGAGGATACAGAAGAAGGTAATTTCTAATATTAACTTTGTCAATTTCTTTGGGTGGGGACATGATGTGGAAGGTCAAGATATGTTAACACCAGGCTTCACACACGTCTTCTCAATGACATTTGATGACAAAGAAGGTATCAATTCGTCCTTCCCCATCCATCTTGAGTTCTGCCTCACCTTGAGTACAGCAATGTATAAGATTGTGGTGCTAGATTTTTTTTTTAATGAGAAACAACGCCTTCATTGAGAATAATGAAAAGAGATACAAAAAGAACAAAGAACCAAAGAGAGCCTACAAAAAGGGCCTTCAAAAAACACAGTGAGAGAGGAAGTCCTCTAAAGAAAAGGACTCCAATCCAAAAAAAATGAGACCTAACGGATAATTACAAAAAGCCTTAGAAATCGAGTCTCATAACGAAGTATTATATCTAATAAGATCCCAGACATCATCCATAGATTTATCTACCCTCTAAACAATCAATGATTCCTTTCCAGCAAAATACCTCATAAAGAAGCCAGAAAACAGGCTTGCCACAAAAAGCGCCCCCTATCACGAAATGGAGGATATAACATGTTGGATTTATCAATATTTGTGTAAATATTAGGTGTCAATATTAGTTGTCAATATTAGTTGTCAATATTTAGTCTTTATTGTTGATATTCAGTCTTTATGGTGTTTATTACTTTCCTTGTTTGCAGTAGGTCATTCTCCTATATAAGAAGGCCTAAGTTACATGTTTGAATCATGGAGTATATTTTTTACTCTCTCAAATTAACATGGTATCAAAGCTTAGGAAGTAAACCCTAACTCTCAAAACCCTAGCCATCATCAAAAATACCAAACCCTAATTTTAAAACCCTAGCCGTCAATCAAAACCCTAGCTGTCAATCAAAATCCTAGCCGGCATCCATTCCTCCTTCCGACAAGTCTACCTCCGATGAACTCCCCACGGCAACGCAACTGTTGCCGTCGATCCGTCGTCCTCACCGTCGATCTGCACCGGTGATATCCGCACAGATCCGCCGCTACTCCCATCCGCGACGCAACCTGTAGTTCGCTGGTCTCCGTCATCCGCACAGATCCACCGCGCC